TGGAGCCACCCTAGAGCTGGAGGAGCCACACGGAGACCCACGCCAGAGCTGAGATGCTTCCACCGTCACTGGATCCACAAGACTCTCCACCCACTAGCTTGTGATCTTTAGCATCATTGCGTGTGGTGTGTGAATCTGAAGAGAATGTATAGACTGGTTGGACATATGGGGTAATATTGGACTTATGGACTTGATCTGGACTGGGCTGGGATGTTTTCTCAATGTACAATTACTCTTTTATATAAAGCTGTTTCTTATACACATATGAGTGTCTATGAATTTCTCTCTAGTACACCCAGACTAACACAATAATGATGCTACCTTTTCATTTCGAGATAACTTTTCCCAAATATCATACAAAGCATCCCCTCTACTCATGCTGCTTACATAGAAATTTAATGAAAAATTATTTCCAGTACCAAAAAGAATGCATATATTAGTATTTTGACTTTTCTATTTCTGGAAACTATGCAAATTAAAAAGGGAAAGACATTTTTAAATCCGTCATATTCATTTTCAGCAAAATTAAGAAATAAGCAGAGCCACAGATACTCAGATATGTGCTAATAATACTCAAATGTTGTTAGGTGCCATCAAATCCGTTCTGATTCATAGGAACCTTATGCACAACAGAAAGCGCTGCCCAGTACTGCGCTGTCCTCACATTGTTCCCAGGCCTGAGCCCATAGTTGTACCCACTGCCAGCACAATCCCGACTGTGTGGACGCACCTCTCCCTCTTCCCCCCAGAAGGATTCACTTCAGAGACAGCACTTAAGATACAGCTCATGGAGAGGAGTGCATCTGATAAGAGCACACAGGAGCAAACAAAGAGGGAAGAAGACAGAGTGGAACACAACCTGGCCCACCAAGCCCCAAGGACAATATTCCTGCTCAGAGCAGCCAATGCTCTGAGAGGACCATAGGGCAGGCCCCACCATGAGACACGATGTCCCTCACTGAACAACACTGGAAGCACAGTGTGGGAATTGTGCTCACTTGACCCTACCACACCAGGGCAAAACGCTAAAGGTGTGCCACAGAGCAGCAAGGGGAGCAAAGCAATGAAGTCCCCGGGGAATACCAAAAATAGACTTTGGGACCAGGCGTGGCACCCCATCAGACTCTACTGGAACACACTCCTAAAGGTCAATAGATAGACCTGGAACTATTTATAGGCTTTTTGGGTCATTGTTTTTGTTTTGTTTTCTTGGTTGTTTTATTTTGTTCTGTCTTGTTTTTGTGCTTATTATTGTCTCTGCGTGTCTATCTAGATAAGATAGGTGGGATAAACAATTCAGGGGAGAAAACAATGGGATGGATGGTTCAGAGGGGGCAGAGGACATGGCAGAGGGAGAGGTGGGGGCTAGGGG